TCTCCAGGACGAAGTCAGCGTGTGTGGTGAAGCCCAGCATGGAGCTTTTCTGAGCCCGGAGCTCCACCAGCTCCTTCAGGATGGCCGAGTTCTCCTGAAAGCACACGCAGGGGGGAGGGGAAGCCCTTTTTAATGGACAGTTCCAATTTACTGCTCGGGGTTGTCCACCTGTCAGACTCAGTGATGTCACCGCATTACCAGGTGAACTTGTTGAGTACAATGTTTTTACAACTGATGGTGGACAAAACTACCAAAATATGTTGTTGTAAACTGGAATGAGTTCAACAACTATTTTCATTAGATTGTTTCAAATAGAGAAACTTGCCCCTCTGTAGTTTCCCAGATCAGAACGAGACGTCTTCAAACTGCTTTTTGTGTTCGACGATGAGAAATAGCAGCCGAGTTTCTCACATTTCAGAATCTGAAATTGACTATTTATAGAGTTGTCGTTTAATTTTCTAATTCAAAGGCTAATTTATTGTCATTGTACAACACATGGTTGCGCAACGAAATTCAGTTGTAGTCTCTTTATTCTACACAGGAAAAACAAGAAAAAGCAGTCATAATTTTGTGGGAAAGACGATTCTCATTTGTTCAGAAAATGCATAAACATGTAATCTATAAAACCCTCACCAAGTAGTTTAAATTCCCCTCTTTCACGACATACCAATATCAGACACAGCATGAAGTTACCAATGACGGCGATTAAAGTATAGAAGGAAACACTTTCAAAAAGGATATATATTGAAGTTTTTCTTTAAATTCACATGTTTATCCTCCGAGTCCTCACTGTGAAAATAAATCCAAACACTGACCTATAAATAACTCAAACTCTTCTAGTTATCAGCTCTGCTCTAAAGGCAAACTAACTCCGCTCAGATCATCATGATGTGGGACGTGAAACCTGCACTAACCGCCTCTCACATTATCTGAACATTTAGCGCTCTTAGAGTGGAGCTGGTGACGGACGTCTGTTTACTTCCTGTCTCACCTCCTTGCAGCGGGAGTTGAAGGCCTCCTCCAGCTTCTGGCGGGTCTCTGGGACGAAGCATTTCTTCATGGTGGGGAAGTAATGAGGATACTTCAGGGTGACCTTCAGCGTCTCTCCGTGCTTCTCCAGGGAGCTCAGGAAGTCCTCGGGGAGGCCGCCTGAAAGCCAAACCACCACATGCGTTAACACACGGAGAGAGGGAGACGGGGTGGGACGGTCCGAGGGGTTCGGGACTCACCCAGCTCGTCTCTGGTGAAGGACAGACTGGTCGTGTCCTCGTTCAGGTTCTTGTTGAAGTCGATGCTCAGGTTGCTCAGCTTCTTCTTGATGGTCTTGATCTCCTGTTACAGCAGAGTCAAATACTTAGATCTGATACTACATGGAGAGTTTAAAAACACACCATATCATAAAAGAAATATGACATATACAGTGATTTTATCCATAGAGCCCACTCCTATCTGAAAACACTTCATCTGACTCTGTGATTTCTCTTAACCGTCAATTTTCAAAAAATATCCCCCCAAAAGTGTCAATAACAACATCAAACAAAGAGAATTGTTTCTCAGTGAAGTCTCTCAGCATGCATAAAGAGTGATAATAAGGAAGCATCAGCCACCTCTTGTGTCTCTTTGGGCAGGTGGAGGCCGTTCCTCTTCCCCAGCTTCATCAGTCGCTCCATGTAACGCTTGGACTCTGCAGTGAGGCAGCCGCCATCCACCTTCTTCTGTAGACGCAAAAACAATAAGAAGAAAAAGACACGATAACAGGAAACCTTCGGAAAGCAAGAGAAGAACTGAAATAGGTCCAAATGTCATCAGAGAGGCTGCAGATCCTGGATTTAAAAGGAAATGGGAGGTACCACCGCTGGTGTCTGCTTTTTCTACATCAAGATTATCCAAACTATTTAGGCTCACCAGCCCCGGATGGGATCAGGACCTGCCACTTCACGTTTGGTTCAAACGCGTACCTAAGATTCAGTATTATGTTGAATGTCATCACATTTGGTGTAGCGTATATATTCAGTGTTACAACTGTGGTCGTATATCGCTGCAGATGCGTTTCTTTCCATCAGTGTGAAAGCGTTCGTGTGTGCGTAAATAGGTGTGTCCCGGGAGAAAGAGACGATTGGCTGGCCAGCTACGGGCTCCAGCAGGTGATTGGCTCCCTTCAGATGAACGCCGGCTATGTGAGGAACCAAGAACACTCATTTCCCTCGTCTCCCAATCAGCCAAACCACCTTCATCACATGTACTCTTTGTCACGCTGATTTCTGTAGGTAATGGGGATGAGCTGTCATGTATTTATTTTTTTTCCGTGAGAGTGGTTGCTTATTATTTGGTTTGTTTGAGATCATTAGGTTATAATTGTTTTCCTCCCGCTTAGATATTTGTCTTGGCCTTTGCCCACCCTAAATCAAGCTCCATGTGGGTTTCATCTCAAACTGTGAATAAATTCAGCCGTCACCATATTCTGCAATCTGCCTCAGAGGCTGCTGGGAGCTTTGGAAGATGGGGCTAGTTCACGTTGCGTCTCGGCCACCTCGAGACGAGGCGCAACACCAGTTTGTTTTTTCCTCTGGTATTGTTCAAATTGTCAGCTCACCTCCAGGGCGACGATCCTCAGGTAGACGTCCTCCCTCATGCTCATCTCCACGTCGAACTCCGACAGACGCTTGTCGGCGTCGGTGCTCGCCGTTCGGACCTCCTTACTGGAAGAGACGTGCTGCGGGAAGTCCAACATGTTCCTCTGGACTGAGATGGGTGAGGTGAGAGACAACAGTCACTTTAGTGGATTTCCTGCACATTTTACAGGATCTATTACGATTTCATTCTTCATTAATGGACTGATCATTTAACATCTTTGATTTACTCTTTAAAACGTTAACCATTCCCATCACAGTAACCAGGTCCAAAGTGATGTCTGCTTTAAATGCTAATTTATTCTGATAAACGGCCACACAACAAAATATTGGATTCAAAATTTAACAAGCAAAGTTTCTCCACTTCATCGAAGTTGTGAGCGATTCATTTTTATTCTTCATCGACAAATAACTAAAAGGAATTAAATATTATTAGTTTCAGTATCTCGAAATTTTGAGATACTCGCGGAAATACTCGCGGCCTGTGCTCGACGTGCACCTGATTCTGGAACTCGCGCGATCAGAGCTTTTCAGACAAACCTGTTGACTGATAAAGCCGAACAATTTGTTTTTGGATGCTTTCAAATATTTGATTTGAGTAAATATTTTACAGGATATTCAACCTTTGTTTCTCTATACTGCATTTCATTCTTGACTTCTTTCTCTACAGGGCTTGTACAAAGACAGTAAAGTAGCCCATGAATATGAGATATGAGTTTACACATAATGACAACTCCTCAGTTCCTCTCAGTATCTAGTAACTTTGTCTCAGCGTCTCAATGTTTTATGTATCTTGTCATTTCAATTCAGCGTTTGACTAAATAAATGTCTTAATTTTGCAAAAGTATTCTCTTAATTTAGACTTATTATTTTTTACTTAAATTTTTTTTTTCAGGTTGAAACAGGCAACCATGAAAATGTAACCAGCTGCTACTTTCCCTGTGACTTGTTCTCGTTAATTCATCATGAAACTCTTTTGCATGAAGTGAAGATAACATGAGGGAGCAGGAGTAGTTTCAGTGTTCCCTCCTGCAGCAGCAGCAGCATGCTGGAGGTGTTTTCAGGTTTTCAGCTGCCTCCACACAAAAGTCTCCGTCTCTATTGTCGCAGCGGCGGCTGGTTCAGCTGCTTTCTCTGCAAATTGCTGACGAGCCTTTACCATCACACACCGATTCTGCCGACTCAGAGCTTCGGTGCAGAGCTCACAATGGACGACCGGCCCCCGACTGTGCGCTCAGGTTTGTGCTGTGTTCGTGACCGCTTTACATTCAGGTTCATCGCGTGTGGACGGCACGAGCCGCAGAAATATAAATGATAACCGTTTTAAATCTCTGCTAGCCAGTGACGTTAATGTTGCCGGTATAAAGACATATTTAACTATAACTCTGATCTTCTATATTTCTCTTCATGTTCAGACTCAAACCAACAAAGAATGTATCTACTGACAAGTATTGTGTGTGTGTGTGTGTGTGTGTGTGTAGCAAAGCCTGATATAAATTCGTCGTCTGTCATAAAGCTCCATTATAGTCCGTCATCACCAGGAACAGACACACTGTCGTTTATTTTAGTCCCACACACACCGTTCTGCTGCCACAAATAGTCACCAGATGTGGATTAATCCGCCGCTGAAAATAGTCCCCAATAAATACACCATTAGCTCCAGATTGTTTGATAAAAACTACAGTGACCAGCTGTTTTTTGATTATCCCTGGCTGGAGGGTCAGAGTGGATGAATCTGAAAACACCGGCCTCATATTGAACATGTTCAAGGACAAAAACGATCAACTGAAAAGAGGAGATTTAGCCGTTTCCTGCTGTTTAACTTATTGTGATCATTTCACACGTAAACAGCGTTTTCAAAATTAGCAAGCTTTAGTCATTTAATTATTGTCAGCTTCAGTCACTGAACACCAACCACAGCTTAGTTTTCCGTGACACATTTTGATCTTTGTTGTGTTATTCTATTATTATAAATTACCTTGTTGCGTTCAACAACACTCCAACATCTGAGGTATAAGATTTATCTGAAACATTTCTGATGCCTCAAATGTACATTGCCTCTATGTTTGTTTATCTTCTGAATTACATTTAAGAAAAACAGCAGCAGATAATGAAGTCTCAGATATCAGAGGGTCTTTGAACACACCGCCAAGACCAGTCGCTGCTCCTAACTGCACTGTCACAGTAAAACAATGTGAATTTACATAAAATAAACTTAACATGGACTGTGAGGGATTCTCTCTCACATCTGCAAGTTCTAAATGTAAAATAATGTGCACAACTTGTAGTTCATGTTATATATATATATATATATTTTATATAGATATTATAAGGAGAGTATTGTTATGTCAGCGGTGCAAGTATATGTGATAGCTCTCAACTTTGAAATAACATTTCAGAAGTTTTTATTTACTTTTATATTATATTTTTTGTTATTATTGTTATCATACCTTGTATGTTCATGTATGTGTGCAGAGGTTTTAATGTACCGTACAATATAACTATAAGACCATAAATACAGAAAATGAAGATATGTATAGTAACCAGTTGGTTTCACTTGTGTCTGACACCGTATATCTATTGAAAAACTCAAAATAACTTTCATTTCCTGGCTATGAAAAAACAATGATCATCATCAGAACCCATGAGCGACAGCATCAGAAGAGAAAGGCTGCCGATTGGTGGACACTGACCGGTGTACTCGACCTCCACGCCAGCGAGGGCCTTCAGCGTGTTCTCGAAGGTGACGCTGTCGAGGTCCAGCGCTCCGACGGCGTCGTACACCGTCTTGGTGCTGGCAATGAGCTCGTCGGAGAGCTGCTGGATCTGCTCAGGGTTCAGGTCCCAACGTAGCCGGTTCTCTGCGCAGACCGGCACCACGCTGGCAAACACCACCTCACCTGGGACAGGAAACAAAAGGACAGGTCAGTGATGGAACTAGTCAGATTTACAATTCTTTATTATTACTATTATATATTGTATCATTACATTATTATTACTCATGCCTTAATGTAAAAGCAGGATGGTACTGCTGTGTTCATTTATAGTGCAGCTCATTTTGAATTTTATGTCGAATGCAATTGATACTAACAAGTAAAACTTTATTTAGTAAAATAACAAAAGTATTACCAGCTAAATGTACTTCAGGTATCATTATTAAAAGTACTCTTCGGAGAGAATGTTTCACAGTGTTTACTTATGATGTATATCATTGGAATATTATTTCAGATTAACACATAGGCAGCATGTTTATGTCACAGTTAGTTTAGGTGAGAATCATTTTAATTATTTTATATACTGTTGGGTACTTTAATCTACGACAATTTAGAAATGTAATTTTCCCCGAATGATTATTTTCAGGGAGTAAATGAAGCATGAATTTTACTGCATTCCCTCCAACAGTTAGAAGACACTGATGAATTATATCTACATCCCTGAATCAGTGTTATAAATTAGCAAGTGTGTGTTGCTCTACACACTGTATCTCCACCCATTCCTGATCAGTTTAACACATTCCTACATCTTCAGATATTATACACATCTCAAGAACAGAAAATCACATGGCTCTGCCCTCATTTCATTTACATACTGGAGTCATCACACAAATGTTATCAAAAATATCTGTTCATTTAAATGTTACTCATCAAAATGCAAACACTTTTCATTCTGATTTACATGTTAAATTATCACAATAGACACCAATATTATTATCTATTACAGATATATTGTACATATTTTTTACTTCCGATTTTTATTGTTATTATTTAATTTTTATTGTATCTATGTTATGCAACAGAACACCAAGAAAAATGCCTTGTATGTGAAAACCGACTTTGGCAATTAACCTAATTTATTCTGAATTCCACTTTACACCAGCTCCCTGCTAATCCTAGTCTGCCTTTACACCAAAAACGACAATAAAAATGTAAGAAGCAGCCGCGAAAAGATGTTGTTTGGTGGATTATTTTAGTAGTATTCTGAATTCATAGGCATAATATGTCAATTGGGATAAGGTATTATGTTTTGTTAAATAATGTGATGTATTTAGCAACAGACGGCCTTAACTTTAAACTCACAAGTTTTTAAAATGGAGTTTGGGGCATTGCTTATTGCAAATATTTAGGATCTGCAATCTACGCTGATAGTCTGAAATTGCTCAACAGTTAGATAGCTCAGTGAATAAGCACAGTGAGCTCACATGCTAACGTTACACAAACAAGAGAGACAATCAATGCAGAACTGCACCATTACAACTCAAGGCGTTTATTTTGGTAACTTTATACTAAACTGAAAGCTAAATTAATGCTACTAGTGATTTTTAATCAATTGACTGGTACAAGCCTTACAGCACAGCAGCTACGCTAGCTAACGGTAGCGCTAAAACTATCTCAGACAGATTCAGTGATCAAAGCTAAATAAATCTAAACGATCACAGAGACAGTCAGAGAACAAACATGGCGGCCATAGGGACGCTTTTACAATAAAAAGATTCAGTCACATTAAAAACATCAGCACATTACTCACCTGTCGGCCCCATATTTCAGGTATTGAATGAAGGTTTGCTAGGTCCGTATGGTTAACTGTCAGGCAGCTGTGTGCAGGACGATATGGCCGCTACAGAAGAAGAAGTAAACTTCTGGTCACACGTTTCAAAATAAAAACCAACACGAGGAGCATTTCTCGCAGCAAACTAATACCACCAAACCAATTTTACAGCGGATATTTTTATTATATTGTATCATACAGTATGCATAGTATTATATGAAGTGGTGGAATACGTGTTCACATTTTTTACTTCAGTTAAAGTAATATATAATTGTGTGTATATATATATATATATATATATATATATATATATATATATATATAT